ATTTTTAGCCACTAAACTGAGTGTAAAGAACACAAATAAACCTTCACAGGAGGAGCTCCCTGCCCAACTCTGCACCGCAAATTGCTCCCAAGCAGGAAATCAATTCCCAGAGAGCAGAAAGGGGACCCGAGGAGGATTAGATATATATATTTTTATATTTTTATATTTTTATATATTTTTTTTTGGGGGGTGTGTGTGTGACCTGTTGTGCCGTGCCAGCAGGGCCGGCGCCGGCTGCAGCTGCAGCTGCTGCAGGGTCCTGACGGTGCCCCGGGGCTCCGAGGCCGGCGAGCAGAAGGTGCTGAAGTCGTGGGTGCCCAGCAGGAATTGTGCAGCTTCCCTCATGGCTCCGATGTCCAGCGAGCTGCGACACACACGGGAGGGTGGGAAGGGTTTAAATCCCCAGTAGTTAAGTCAGGTTTAAAGCTGAAAGGTTGGGTTTAAAGCCCAAGGAATTATAGCGGGGTCAAATATCAATAATTACATCAGGCTCAAACTCCATGGAATTAAATCTAGATCAAACCCCAATAAATTACACCAGGCTCAAACTCCAGGGAATTAAATCTAGATCAAACCCCAATAAATTACACCAGACTCAAACTCCAGGGAATTAAATCTAGATCAAACCCCAATAAATTACACCAGGCTCAAACCCCATGGAATTAAATCTAGATCAAACCACAATAAATTACACCAGGCTCAAACCCCAATAAATTACACCAGGCTCAAACCCCAAGGATTAAGCCAAGCTCAAACCCCAAAGAATCACACCGGGGTCAAACCTCAAGGAATTAAGCCTGGATCAAACCCCAGTGAATTACACCAGGGTCAAACCCCAAAGAATCCCACCAGGCTCAAACCTCAAGGATTAAGCCAGGCTCAAACCCCAGTAAATTAGACCAGGGTCAAACCCCATGGAATTAAATCTAGATCAAACCCCAGTGAATTACATCAGGCTCAAACCTCAGTGAATTAAGCCAAGCTCAAACCCCAATAAATTACACAAGGTCCAAACCCCAATAAATTACACCAGGCTCAAACCCCAAAGAATCCCACCAGGCTCAAACCTCAAGGATTAAGCCAGGCCCAAACCCCAATAAATGATACCAGGCTCAAACCCCAAGGAATTATGCCTGGATCAAACCCCAATGAATTAAACCAGGCTCAAACCCCATGGAATTAAGCCTGGATCAAACCACAGCGAATTACACCAGGCTCTGTCCCTAATGAATTAAGCCAAGCTCAAACCCCAATGAATTAAACCAGGCTCAAACCCCAAGGAATTAAACCAGGCCCAAACACTCAATATTTATTCCATTTCTACCACTTCAGATCTATTTTTCCCTGCCACAACGCACAGAAAAAACAAAATCCCTGCAGACCAAACCCCTTCTAATCCCGTTTTTTGTCCCTCCCAGAGCCCAGATTCCCAAAAATTCCCCGGCAGGGTGGGAGGGGAGGGGACGGACTCACCCTCCGGGCGGAGCCCAGCACAGATCCCGCTCGAAGACGGGGATTTGGGAAGGGTGGGCACAGCCCAGCAGCAGCCGGTAGATGTAGGTCCTGGACACGGCACAGAATCGGGCATGGAAGGTGCTGGGAACCCGCTGGGCGCTCAGGATGCTGCGGGGACAGCGACAGCGACACAGGTGTCACCCTGCGGATGGCAGCTGGGATGGGCAGGGCACACCTGGAGATCGATGGGACATCGAGGAATTGGGGTGGAGGGACATGAAGGGACAT